CACGCGAGATCCAGTCGCGTATGGAAGTGAAAATTGGACGAGCTCGATGGACCAAGCTCTTTCCTTAACCCTTGCTGCTACATCTCTGACGCCATTGTGCGCACGCTCACGATACCCGTCTTCTCTTCCCTGAAACAGATTGGAAAGTGAGATTAGTATGGAAAAATTCGCAGATATCGATCACTTCTGTTTCTTTTCGAAACCAACTCTTGGTTTCGAACAGATTGCCGTGGTAAAAGTGCGAGATCGCATAGGAAGATCGTTATATCGAAATGAAAGAATTTTCATACATACAGGGTGGCTCACCACATATTATCATCTAAATATATGTGAATGTTTCGGACGAAGTTGAATGGTTTTGAGAGAGACATATTCTGATGGTAATATTTTTGTAGATGGATGTGTAAAAGACATATGAGGGTCATTAATATTTTTATAAATGGAATTATATATTTTTTATTACATCAGCTGACGTTCCTTCATATTCTTTGCAAAGAAGTATTAACCTATTTATGTTAAAAAATTATTAGATTAGGGGGTATTTTAATTCTACTCTTTATTTATAGAAAAGGTTCAATATGGCGACCATTTACATTACAACACTTTCTTAATCGATAAATTAATGATTCATTAATATTGCGTAGTGTATCTGATATTTTGTTAACACTAGATTCACGGAACCCGTGAATTTGACGGAGGGGTTGCTCCAATTATACGATGGTAACAGATTTAGTTAACTTGTATTAAGACTGTTAACCCTTTGCACTCGAGAGGCGCCCTTCAATCGCCATTTGATAAAATTTCGGACATCGATATTAATTAATATGTGAAATTTAAGATAACGTAACAATGTGAGAGGTATCGAAATCAAATAATTCTACTTAATTATTATAAGTTTTTTATTTACTGCTCAAAAAAATATCGTCAATTCTATAGCAGAAAATCTTTGGACGCCTGTCCATTTTTAGCCAAACAATCGTCGAGTGCAAAGGGTTAATATTGTAATTGCTTTTAAATTAAATTAATCGTTAAAAAGAAGGCACGTGGTTTCCTTTATTTGTCAATTTGACAAGTGTCTTTAGAAATAGGTATACAGATAGCGTCTGTAAACCTAGTGTTAATGACGACACTACTATTTTATTAACGATGAACTCAATGATGATACGATTCCTTATATTGGTCATTGTAATCGAGGGCTGTGATATAACATATAAGTAGTATCGCAGAATTTCTATCTCGGGTATAGGTGACTTTGGTCTGGAAGGTCGCCGAGGGTTCGAGGGCCAGGTCAGTCGGAAAAACCCCGGCGATGCGTCAGGCCCTTAGGATAACCATATTTGGTCATGTTGGGGGAGGCTTTTGAGGAATATATATAAGAAGGCAAAAATGGTTAGGGGACAGTGCTTGAGAGACAGTTATGTTGGGTCAGTGATGTTGGAACAGTTATGTTGTAATTGTGTTGTTAGTTGTAGTTGTGTTGTTAGTTGTAATTGTGTTGTTAGTTGTAATTGTGTTGTTAGTTGTAATTGTGTTGTTAGTTGTAATTGTGTTGTTAGTTGTAATTGTGTTGTTAGTTGTAATTGTGTTGTTAGTTGTAATTGTGTTGTTAGTTGTAATTGTGTTGTTAATTGTAATTGTGTTGTTAGTTGTAATTGTGTTGTTAGTTGTAATTGTGTTGTTAGTTGTAATTGTCTTGTTAATTGTAATTGTGTTGTTAATTGTAATTGTGTTGTTAGTTGTAATTGTGTTGTTAATTGTAATTGTGTTGTTAGTTGTAATTGTGTTGTTAGTTGTAATTGTCTTGTTAATTGTAATAGTTTATATATATCTATATTCGTAGCCTTTATCGTCACCACCATAGTGTATTATTATTTTATTTCTAATAAATAGTTGTATATTATTTAACCACCACCCATGTCTCTACATATATTACAAAGAAGATTGTGAGTTTTGGCAAAATGGAATGCACACGATCCACGGTGCACAAAGTCATGAAACGGAGAGAAACGGAGCGTGAAGTCATCAAACCATTGGTCCAACAGGAAACGCGTTATACCTTACGGTGGTTGGAGATAGGTTCATGGTAATATCAAGAATATTCCGCTTGATGTGTACTTATTATTGGCGAATGATGTAAGAGTATCCTTAATTAAGTGGTTCGTTAACTCTGCTCTGAATCTGCGTTCTATCATACGGATCACGATAACGCTAATTATCCAAGAATCACGTCGGGAGTACCTCGAAAGATTCTATTACCCGTTAAAATTCTTTTCACTACTTTCCGATGCATCTTTAGAAATGTAATCTCCGAAGAAAGTTGTCTCCTTTTTATTACCTCGAATAAACACAATTTACGTGGCTCGATTTTACTACTCCCGTAATTGGTAGAATCGCTCGCCTGCAGGATTTGGCCTCGATCCGGGGGTACTTAGAAAATCAAGCGAATCTCAACCGCGGTCAACGACGTCCAAATAAACAAACGTGACTGCGTCCGCAGTCTTTTCTCTCGTTACACCTTGAATTTCACACCCCGCGTTCGCATTTCCACCTCTTCCGCATAGCTCGACGAGAGGAGACAAAGTCGAAAAGGTGCAGCTGCAAGTCGAACTTTCTAATTCGACGGCACAGGTCCGTCTAACTAGAAGGAGGATTAGCGTTGGTAATTGAGAACGCAAGGACGCCTGGAGATCGTAAAGCTTAAGCGAGCGTAAAAATGGCCGACGCTGTGAAGCCGATGGAATCTGGCTGTCCAAGAGGAATCAAAAAATTAAAAATTAATTTCTACTTGCGCTGGAAAGACGTGCGTGACACGTCGTAATGCTTTTGTCACAAAATCACCAATGACGTGTCACGCACGTCGTAATACTTTTGTCACAGAATCGCCAACGACGTGTCACGCACGTCGTAATGCTTTTGTCACAGAATCGTCAGCGACGTGTCACGCACGTCGTAATGCTTTTGTCACAGAATCGCCAACGACGTGTCACGCACGTCGTAATGCTTTTGTCACAGAATCGCCAACGACGTGTCACGCACGTCGTAATGCTTTTGTCACAAAATCACCAACGACGTGTCACGCACGTCGCAATGCTTTTGTCACAGAATCGCCAACGACGTGTCACGCACGTCGTAATGCTTTTGTCACAGAATCGTCGACGACGTGTCACGCACGTCGTAATGCTTTTGTCACAAAATCGCCAGCTACGTGGCATACACGTCGTAATGCTTTTGTCACAGAATCGCCAACGACGAGCTATACACGTCGTTAGGCAATTGTTACAGAAACACCGGATCGTTTTGGCACACGTGTCTGTAAATTTCTTGCAACCGCAAGTGCTTAAATCCATCACAGGGTATTTTCTATTTTCCAATTTGTGGACGAAATCGAACAAAAACGCACGCTCGATGCTACAGGAAGTGCAGTAAAAGAGAGAATCGAGTAAAAGTCCTTGGTTGTAAACGTAAAATCCTAGAATGTAATATAACGTAATCTACGAGCAATTTCATTTCATTTATAGTTACGTTTCACTGACAATCGTGGCTCACGAAGTGTAGAAAGCATCTTGCGTAATCTTGATCATTTTGAAAAATCGTTTGAACTTCGTGTCTGATCACTTTGATGTAGAATTATCAACGATATTCGCAATATTCGTTGATGTTAATTAGCAAAAGACGAATATCAAAAATTTCTAATAAAATTCTAGAAAATTTGCTAATATTCTTTCTGATCCAAAAAATCAGTCGATTTAAAAATCGCGTTAAAATGGTCCCTTTAATCATTCCTGTGCGAAGGCAGAAGACAGGAGAACTGGTTTAGCGAAATAACTGGCAACCATTTTTATATTTCGATACAAAGCAATCGTTCATAGATATTGTAGTTCCATTTGTGACTAATGGCAAATTGAGTTTCTAGAAATGTCCACGTAATCGCAAACCGAAGATTCTTGCTGGCATCTCGCGGATTCCTAGCTTTCTGTTAACAAACCCAACGAAAGTTATTCGAGTCGAACGACGATTGGAAATACTAATCGCTACGCGACATCGATGACTATTTATTGTTTGCAAATATGCGCAAATGTCAGTCAAGTTTCATTCAAAAATTCATATCATTTCCTGAGAATTAATTAGGAGATAAAAGAAAAAATCGTCACGAAGAGATCACTGGCACGTGCTGATCCGATTCTTGTTTAAAATTCAACCGGTTCGAGTGATCGCGTTGATGTTCGCAGTCGTTGGTTTACCTAAAAGATCTAGTCCGATTTGTCGGTTTTTCCCTTAATTTGCAACGAACCATGGATTGAGCACTGGTCTCGCGAAACGAATTCGGTTAGGCACGTGTAATTGAGAAACGTGGACAGAGTGAAAGCGTGATTAACTTATGAACAAATTTGGAATAAATCCGGATAGTTTGACGTAGGATGAACCGAATGCTCTTCCAGAGAAATTTCTTGCAATTGCAACTGTTGCAACGAACGCAGCTGTGTTTGTTGTATGCACAGCGAGTCTGTTCCTTTTGTCAAACTATGCGATCCATTCGAAGCGTGTGAGAAATTTAAAAAGATATTTAAAATTACGTGTTGCGTAATAAATTTGTTACGATGCCCTTTCGAGAATTGCTCGATGCTTGTAAGTTTTTAAGTACGTAAGATCCCGACTGTTTCGTTTTATTCAGGTAATTACACTATCTGCTTGCTTATGTAATAATGAAAGAAAAATTAGAAAAATGAAACGAAAAAATGGTAAGAGAACGCGAGGATGTAACTTAGAGACTTCGTGCTGTGCACGTGACTTATTCACATGTTCCAGTTTCATTGAATATTTCGTAATCAAACATTTCTTTTTCTTCCTATCTTAGCATGGCATTTCGCAAGCTGAAAAGAACGAAGCTGTCCGCTTTAGTTTTATTTTGAGAAAATCAGCATAATTAGAGCTGAAGATAAAGTGGACCAGATCAGGAAAAGTAACGCAGAGGAAGAAAATAAACAATATATGTACAAAATTTATTCTACTTCCATAGCACATTTTGTCAGTGGATTATCTTCTGTTGCATCAACTGAATTACTTAACGAATTCTCTGTGTTCTCAAGCTTATCTTCCACAGAGGGATTTCCTGATTTTTCTAAAACCTTTGTTCGTATATCTTTATTTTGTTTCGGTTCCTTACTTGCTTTTTGTAACGTTTCCTCTAAATGTCTTTTACCAAACCTTCTGAATTTAAAATTGGTCAAGTACCTTAATTCTCCGTTCCATTCTCTTAACATCTGACACTGCGTTGCATTTAAAATATCAGGAATTTCTGAAACATGAAGGAAATTTTGCACATTAGAGTACTTTGAAAATAAGGTAAATCAAATTTCTTTACCTATCCCACATGTATCGTACTCTTCTTGTTCTCTCTCTCTGGCCATTCTTAATATATCCTCTCTACTGGCATGTTGTCTACCTCTTTTGGTACCTACGAATCTTTTGAGGACAATTTGATCCATTTCTTCGTCATTTCTTGCTATATACCTTAAAATCCAATACAAAATCGTAAGTAGTCGTATCTTCAATATACAACTCTGGTTCACCTACATTTTTAACAAGCGAGCAGTTAATTCTGTAGTATAGGGACAAACATCTGGCACCATATGATCTTTGATCCATAACATTTTCTCTTTTGTTATATTCTGTTTTATCAAGCCACCCATTTTTGCTTTCTGCCTGTGTAATATTCTGAAACAAAGAGCAATTACATTTAACAATATATAAAGAATATATAACAAAATATATAAAATATAAGAAAATCAGGTAGAGTAATAATAATTTAATTTACTTTTTAGTTCTCTTTGCAATGGCAAGAGATTTTCTACTATTTAGATGTGCAATATTCTTCACTTTCAGGAACTCCTTTCTCAATGCAGTAGCCTATAAAAGTAACAAATATACAAAACGAGAAAGAATATATTCAAATAATCCTTACAAAATAATAAACTATTTTATTTAAATATAAATTAATACAAACTGTACCATGTTTGTGATTTATCGTTGTTAGTGGCCTAACCTTCAAACTATCAAATCAGACCATATGTACACTCTATCTATTTCTTGCTCAGAAGAATCATCTACAATAGCAACAGTGGCGACGTCTGTCGACAGAAGAAGCAACATCGAAGCACATCTTACCATGGACATTTCTAGACCAATAAACTTCAAAATTTTTCTTCTGTTTCGAACAATTTATAATTATTCTTTTAAACATTAAAAACGTAACCTATTTTATTATTTTTAACCTTTAATAAGTATATATCGATTAACACGAAGAAAGCGTTTTGTAAATCTGTACTACATTTATTCAACAAAGGAGGGAAATTTGACAGAAGTGAATGATGGAAACGAAAAGTTTAATCGTAATAGTGCTTCTCCTAATTTTAACATCAGATGGGACGTGTTTTGGTAGGAAAAGATCCGTCCAATGTCGAAGAGAAAAGGAAGAAACTCTAAGTAAAGACGATCAAAACTCAACAGACAGTTATAATTATATCTGTGACCGGAGTGAATTTGGAATAGTACAAAAAATTCCATACTTCCGCCCTTGCTCGGCGTGCGATACGATAAAAATCGATTTCTCAACAGCTTGTATCAGATGTGGGATGTGTCTCGCCATTGCTGAAAAGGTTGAATCACTTTCGTCATACACATTTACATTGTCAATTTCTTCGTACATTATATCGAATTATTTGAAAATATCCTAAGAAATATTAGGAAAAATTTAAACGCAATGTATTCTTGTAGTATTAACCTTAAATTATATTATTAATATGTTGAATAATATATATTCCCTAATGAAATGAATAAAATAAAAAATTCCAATTAAAGTTAAAAATCCTTTTGTCTTAAATTTAATTAAATTTAATAGCATATAAATTATAATTTAAATTTAATATTACAAATTTAATATTTAAATTATAAATTATAATTTAAATTTAATGTTGTTCATTGAAGAATGGTATTCTCGATCAATCAATCGCAAATACTATGAAAAGGAGTATATTATAATGATTGAATATTTTCCAATCTCGATAAATTTATTTAATATTACCGCAAAGATTAATTAATTATTAATTATTAGTACTCTCCCAATTAATTATTAGTAACTCTCCCAACAGCATAATGATACATTATTATATTGCACGACTAAAAATAAGGAAAAAGAGTGGGACCTTAAAGTAGATAAAAATTGATTACATAATAAGTCATTAAATATAACAGGTCACGATAACCAATTCAATTCAAATACGAAAAATTACAATAATCCATTTTATAATTCTCAGATAAATCAAACCCTGCTGGACGTCCACGAGGTGTTACCCAACGTGTATTTGAACCACACCGAAATCGAGCTTCTCTTGAGGACCATCTGCAACCATTCTTTCCAACAGTAAATATATGCAAATCAATTAATAAACAAATCACTATATTTTTAATCAATTAATAAAAAAAATAGACATATATTTTTATTATTTTCACAGTTATGGTCTTCAAAAGTTAAATGGAAAGAGATACATCTCTGACAGGTTACCAGGTTCTATCATGATAACCACGTCAGCTGATGGGCTTTGGGGAAAGAAGTGAGTGAACCGAGATCTAACATTTAACTCAGTTATTCCACGATAAATTATATATCTGAATTATTTCAGATTAAGTGATCTTTGTCATTACTATCTCGACGAAATTGGAGAAGTATTTTTGTACGAGCAATGGCAACGCTGGCGTCACGACAATAACTTCCAGGACCTGATTACCCTCGTGTGTCGGTAATAAGAAAAACGAGACCTTCAATTGGATACAAAATATTTATTAACAGCTTTGCTTAACTCTTACTTCTTTTCAGAAGCACGGATGGTATATTGCGAGATTGCAGAAGCATGGAGAACGTGGCAAAGTACGAATCTCCGTTTAAAACTTACAAGGCCAAAGTAAAAATTACCGCGACCTACGACAAGTATGGCAAACGTAACTGAAGGGTAATACTATTTATATAAGCATAATAGACGAAGCGACTACTCAGCCATTGAATAACGTTTTACACCTCTTATCATTTCTATTCTTCGCTATAAATAAAAGTATCTTATCACGTAAGAACCTACTTGTTTTATCTTTTAATCGTAATACTGTTTATACGTAATCCTGTAAATTCGAATGGAAACTCCATACGTAATAGAAGTTCACGTGTACACTGACCGACTACTTCCTATAATGCAGTTCCAGGTTTACAACGTTTTAAATAACGATTATGAGCTTGGAGACAGACAGAGAGGGAACTCATCGTACAAAGGCAGTCAGGAACTACCAAACCAGTCGAAATGACTAGTTTCTCTTTACTTTCGTATTTGCTCAAAACATGCAATTGCACTTGGTAAAATTAATTTCGATTTTCATTAAGATAGACACATGATTACATGCAGCTATCTATTTTCGTCGCATATACCACTTCAATTAATATTATCCGTGTATACTATACTTAAGCAGACATTACAGGTCGATAGTTCTAATATCGTATTAAAAGCTTTCTCCTGATCACTTCCTGATGGATATTTCGCAAATATCCAGCCCCTGCTTCCATCTATATTTATAAATATCATAGAACAGCGAATTATACTTACAACTATAAATGTCACACGATAATAGAAAATATTTTTCCAAGAATCTCTGCGAAGCAATAGCGTCAACTAATATAATTCCACGAAATTCCATGAAATTCCACATTTTTTTAGAACACTTCAACCCTCCTTTATTCTCTGTAATGAACCTTTTAAAACCCAACACACTTCCTCTTCGATTATTGCTGAAAAGGAAAAACAGATAATAGAAAACGATAATAGAAAATATTTTTCCAAGAATCTCTGCGAAACAATAGCGTGAATTAATATAATTCCACGAAATTGCACATTCTTTTAGAACAACTCACCCCTCCTTCATTCTCTCTAATGAAATTTTTAAAACCCAACACTTCCTTTACAATTATTGTTGAAAAGGAAAAACAGATAATAGAAAACGATAATAGAAAATATTTTTCCAAGAATCTCTGCGAAGCAATAGCGTCAACTAATATAATTCCACGAAATTTCATGAAATTCCACATTTTTTTAGAACACCTCAACCCTCCTTCAATTCACTTCCTCAAAACATTTCCTCTTCAATTACTGCTGAAAAGGAAAGACCATACTACCTACAGAGCTACCCTTCTGCACCTTATCATCTAGCTTCCTCTTCTGTAACCCTGAAACCCTGCGCTTCGCTCGTTTTGGTCGTCCATCTTTTCTCCAGGTGAAAAATTTCGGCTCCAAACGAGGTTTATCGATTTCACCGTCCGAATCCAAGTCGTTTCCCGTCTTTCTCATACTCGAGGTCTCATCTCGCGAATCCAACGCGATGACAGAAGAACTCGGGGAGAAGTGCTCCCCGTTGTTGGTCGTTAAATCGATTCGCGAATCGCGAAACAAGTCGTTCCGAGGGTCGTTGTTAGAATGAAGATGCGGCAGATGAGGGAAACGTGGAAACGAGGGTAATCGTGGCATGTGCGGGAGGTGAGGCAGGTGAGAGGGCATCAGATGATGTTGACGCATCCCTCGAACGATCGTCTCCTTCATCTGCCGCCTCTTGTGCCAAATCCTCTCGACGATCCCGATCGAGACGGCCGCGACACCTCCAGCGATCAGAATGAAGAAGGCGGAGTACACGTCTGTGAGTCTCGCGCTGTGGAAAGTGGTCGGTGACTTGCATCTGGGCATCTCTGGCAACATCCGTTCCGTTATCCTGTTCAGGACCCCTCGTTCTCGTATTTTCAGGATACTGGAAAATATGGAACAGAGAATGAATTTTGGATAACTTGGAGGACCTTTGGAAAATTTATTTTCTTCCTTTTCTTTAAATATAGATGTCCATATGATGACAATTTATGGGGTGCCATTGAGAAAATTTATGGGTATTTAAGGGTCTTAGAATTTTCTCGTGAATTTCGTCTGGAAGCATAGAGACTTTTCTATTAAATTTTACCTGTGATTTTCTTGAGTTATAGTAATATTATAGTATAGTTAATTTAGTGCATTATAGTACAGTTAGTATAGTATATTATAGGACAGTTATAGTAATACTTTTGTATAATTAGTATAGTACATTATAGTACAGTTAGTATAGTATATTATACTAAAGTTATAGTAGTATTATATATAATAAATCACAATGATGGTATTGCAAAATCCTTATTGCAAAATCATTTATCTTCCAGAATATTCGAATTTCCGATATTCTGATAATACTCTGATAAGATTTTGATGAATATATTCCACGAATCACGTACTTCAAATTAATAATTTTCTTGTAAGGGCAAGAATTAGCCATCGGCAATGCAACCATAGTGAACGTCTGTGGAAGTGGCAATTCCTTCAAATTGCATCGTTTTTGGATCAACGTGGATCTGAGGGCGCGTCGGGCAAGGGTGGCGCTCACGAAGAAGCCATAGTGGCCTTTCACGGCCTTTGTCAGACCGGATATGGTGTCCAATCTCGACTCCCTGTTGTTGAACGCCCTTATGTACAACTCGCGTAGATTACTGTCGTTCACGTTCTATGGAACAAGTAAAAGTACTCCGCCAATGACAAATTTGATACATGTTATCTTCCTCGATAAACTCACTCTGATGTATTCGTCGTCGGTTATGCTGTACCCCAATTTGAAGTTGTGTGAGAGAATATCCGTGATGGACTTGATACCACTGGCCTGTACTGATAAGATTGAGGTAATAAATCCGGCGTAGGCGTTGTACATTACCAAAGCAAACATCAGACTGAATAATAACACGGTTTTCCCAGATGGATTCCGAGGAGTCCATGGAGAACCTGTGGTTAATAAAAATTGATGAAAAATCAACATTGCTGAATAACAATTAACGTAATTAATAAACTTTTTAACGAACAAAAATTGCAATGAAATTCTCTTCATTCGAAATCATAATTCTTTCTTCCTCTAAATTTATCTTCTGGTAAAATTGATGAAAAATCAATATTGCTGAATATCAATTAACGTAATTAATAAACATTTTAACGAACAAAAATTGCAATGAAATTCGCTTCATTCGAAATCATAATTCTTTCTTCCTCTAAATTTATCTTCTGGTAAAATTGATGAAAAATCAATATTGCTGAATAACAATTAACGTAATTAATAAACATTTTAACGAACAAAAATTGCAATGAAATTCGCTTCATTCGAATTCATATTTCTTTCTTCCCCTAAATTTGTCTTCTGGTAAAATTGATGAAAAATCAACATTGCTAAATAACAATTAACGTAATTAATAAACATTTTAACGAACAAAAATTGCAATGAAATTCGCTTCATTCGAAATCATAATTCTTTCTTCCTCTAAATTTATCTTGTGGTAAAATTGATGAAAAATCAACATTGCTAAATAACAATTAACGTAATTAATAAACATTTTAACGAACAAAAATTGCAATGAAATTCGCTTCATTCGAAATCATAATTCTTTCTTCCTCTAAATTTATCTTGTGGTAAAATTGATGAAAAATCATCATTGCTAAATAACAATTAACGTAATTAATAAACATTTTAACGAACAAAAATTACAATGAAATTCGCTTCATTCGAAATCAATTTCCTTCTTCCTCTAAATTTATCTTGTGGTAAAATTGATGAAAAATCAACATTGCTAAATAACAATTAACGTAGTTAATAAACATTTTAACGAACAAAAATTACAATGAAATTTTCTTCATTCGAAATCATATTTCTTTCTTCCTCTAAATTTATCTTCTGGTAAAATTGATGAAAAATCAATATTGCTGAATAACAATTAACGTAGTTAATAAACATTTTAACGAATAAACATTGCAATGAAATTCGCTTCATTCGAAATTATATTTCCTTCTTCCTCTAAATTCATCTTGTGGTAAAACTGAATATATCGAATTATAAGAAATTCGAGCATTTTTGCAACTAAGCACCACAATTTTGTTAAACAGCGAAAGGATTGATATCATATTGTGTCGAATGACTGTCAATTTTATTTTCAATCATTTTCAAGTGATAATATCGAGTAAAACCTTGCATGCACATGATGCTGATGCACCAGAGCGCAGCTTCCCCTATTCCGACCCGTTTCGCCTCCTCATTGTGCAAAACTGTTTTCGTCGCGTAAATGATCAACCCCATGGCTATTAGTATGGCGAGATAAGTGGACGCGACGCAGCCTAGCAAGCAGGTGTTGAACGGTTGACGAAATATGTCCCTCATGGTGCCGGTTTCCAGAGGGTGGTAGTAAATGTTCCTCCTGTGTGAACAGAAGTTCATTGAACAGAGCGATGCATTCACTTGATCGATTAAAATGCTCAAGGTGTACAGGTTGTTCCACAAATTTTCCTGCAAAACTTTGTCCTCGCGTATATAATACACATATCACACCGAAAATTGGAAAATTGGTAAATCCTAATTTTATTCATAAACCATTTACTATAACGAGGTGATAAAAGTTCCCCAAAAATCTGATAAATATTTCAATTCCGAGTTTCTGTCGAACCATTTTTGCAAATGCTATTAACCCTTTGCACTCGGCGATTTTTTCGTTACAGGAAAATAGTAATTCGATGACTTTCTGTCATAATATCGATGATATTTTCAAAACAGTATATAATAAATGCAAATTAGTTGGAAGACGTAGAACTTTTTTATCTAAATATTCCACGCGTCGTTGGGCAATTTTAAATTCGAGATATTAATCAACAACGATCTTTAGAATCTGATTAAATGGTGACTGAGAGGCACCTCTCGAGTGCAAAGTTGAGAGTTTGTTTACACCATGATTGTGCATTTTATGCGAGTGTGCGTATGTGCTTGTTTAAATTTTTATTTTTAATTGTCCTTTGAGTACGTACGTCATATATATTAACCCTTTGCACTCGAGAGGTGAGTTCAGTCACCATTTCATAAAATTTGGAAAATCAATATCAATTAATATATCAAATTTAATGCAATGTAACAGTGTGCGAGGTATCGAAATCAAATAATTCTACAATTCTATTATTATACAATTCTTTATTCACTGCTGAAAAAAGTGTCGTCAGCTTTTTAGTAGAGAATCTTTGAATTTCTACTCTTCTCTAGCCAAAAGTCATCGAGTGCGAAAGGTTAATATTAGGCATGCTTTATTAATACTAGAAGTACGAAGCCTGTAAAGACGATCGGTTTCAGACTCTATTCTTACAATTATCGACATACAGGGCAAGTTTCGTAACGAGACTTTGATATTAAATAATTTATAAAATACTAGTAAGAAAAATGTTGCAGATGTTGCATATTTTTTACCTTTTTATCGATATACGAATGTTACTTTCAACTTTTGAAGCTTATCAAAATAGCTTGGTCAGCTCTCTCTTGTCAGATGTTGCTCGACTATTTCCTCGCAGAGTAAATTAGAAAACAAAGTTTATAGCGTATTACATGCATTAATTATGTAATAACAGTAGAAACTTTTAAAAATGTTTCTTACTCACTGATAAAAGAATTATGTACTTGAGCTGATTGTAACGAGCAGCAGCTCGGACATCGCTCAAAATAGAACTCATTCTGCCAATATCTTAGAAACCATTTCGAGTCTTTTTCATATAGAATTCGACTCTTTATCCGAATTTGGGAAGAAATATTAAATGTTCTATTTAAAAAATTGAAGACGACCTTCGTATCTTGACAAAACAGCAAAATAACAAAATTAATTAGACTACTATACGTACTCCTAGAAACCATGCAACACCTGTGTAAATTATTTTACTTCTTCGTACAACAAATATTTTATGAGTTGTTTGAGTTCGTGTTACGAGGCTCACCCTGTATATAGCCGAGGTTGGCAAAATCAATGTTGACTATTATCGAAGTAGAAACGTACTTATGTATATTCTTTTATTTTCATCATACCACGATGAATATAGGTAATTGAGATGACAAATCGTCGCGATAATACGGTGAAATGCGAGGTCTAAGATAAATTTGCTTTTAACGCAATGCATGGGAGGAATAGCTACACAAATATAGCCTATATTAATTCGCTGGATTAAGTATAGAAAGTGAATGAAGTATACATTACGGCACAAATGTCACCGAAAAAATTAGTTATTACATCGATATGCGCTTTAGCTATATAATCTTGCATTTTAAAGTGTTATGCACTTCCGTAGATATACGTACGTTTGACGTCAATGTCTCAATAAATGTATTCGGGAAAAGAAATAGAGTCTCTTAAAATGAAAATATAAATTCAAATTGTATCGATAAGTTACGCGAGTTATTTGTACAGGAAATAAAGATGCGTTTCGATCAAGATTTTCTACCCAAGCTTTCGAGGTCCACTTTTTCAATCACACTCCTTTGTTTATTCCCAATCTGCTCCGTCCTCGTGGGACAAGGTAAGAAATATATTTTAATTACTTTTAATCACGGAACGCGTTGACAAAATTATTTTAATATACGATTTATAACAGCTGTACTACATTTTTGAATAAAACCTTCCAGGGTCCAGTTTCACGTCAGGTTTACGAATTATTTCTCGTCGTAGAATAAATTGGTAATTGGAAAATATCGTTTACCTACATTATTTTCGCCACTTTGTGCAATTTATCGCGGAATATCGCAATTTTGTACGAAATTAGGATGAAAATGGATGATTCGTTTTGCTTCTTTTCCATTTCTAAATCATCACTACGTACAAAATGTTTGTTATCGAAATATAGAGCTGAGTCAGAGCTTTCGAACGATACATAACATAAGCAGATTTACAATTTATTCCAATATCAAGCTGCAAAAATTGAAAATACGAAAATGGAAATTATTTTTCTACCAATTTAATGTTTCCAATCGTGGAACGCGTTGACGAAGTTTTGAACCGATTTATGGAACAATCTGTACCTCTCTAGGAAATTCAAAGAGACCATTGTTCCATTAGCTACTGAATAATATCGAGATTACGAATCGAGCATTATATTGTAAATATATTCTCACATATAACGAATGAGAGGATGACTAAACGACATTTCCGCTTGTCTTTCCTCGTTCACGGTGATGTACCCTAGTCCAATGTCCACTTCACCGGTGACGACATCTCCGAGCAGGTTATTCCAAACTTTGTTATTCAGAGTGCCTAGCTTTTCGTGCGGCACTATTTCTATGCTAGAAAAGATTTTCTTCTTACGTAAATTCAGGCACGGTTGTAACGATAAGGTTGCAAATATAAAAATGATATTCAACGTGGTGCTCTATTTATTAACGAGAAATAGTAAGGAGGAAAAATATTCCTCGCTTTTAATCCACATCACCAGATACGTTACGTAGTTCAGTGACGAACTTACATTCAAATTGCGGGTAAGATACGTGAATGTAAATAGACGTTAACGTTTTCGATATTCGCTTTCACGCTCGAATTATGCAAATCTCGACTCTCGAAATTTGAAGCCGGTGCCCCGTGATCGGCATTTCTCTGGAAACCGGTATAAATGCTTGGAATATAAATTGAATTGTTCGTTATTCCGTTTGAGTTAATAGAAATTGCAAATTCGTTAGAAGCGTCCGTTATCGTATCAAGAAAATGATAAAGACTTGAACTCTGGTTTATCTGCGGAATTCGCACATAAATTCGCTGAATAAATTAGAACGAACGTCGAGTGCCTTCGGGAATGCGATTGAAAGTTTCGAAAGATCATGCGCCATGGCCATTGAATCTGCCCTAAGAGTTGCCACCAGAGCTGGATAAAAATTCGTAATCTATTTAGAGAAGTTTATACACTCGTGCCTAATTCTGGTAACGATGGAAATATCTCGGATAATATTTAGGAATGCGATAATTCGTGATAAAAAGCGATGAGGATAATTCGATAGATCGTAACTTGTTCATAAATCAAGAGTGTGCGGCATAAATGCACCTACGAGCGTAAATTATTCATAAATTTATTTGCAGACTCATTTATATGGATAATTAAGATTTTATATCACACGCCATGACCTAATTTGACCTACAATAGATAGATTATTCACTGATTTAATCATTCGTATCTACTGACTTCGTTATTTCGAAGTTAACACGACAGAAGGTGCTACGTGTATTGGCTATAATAACGCTGTAATTTGAATAATAATAAATATTATAATAAAGTACCGCGTTCGGTATGCATGGTGCATGCAATATTGTATCTCGCGAATTATTAGAATACGACAAATCATTTATAATCGGATAAAGCAAGATGAGTTTTTATTCAAATTGAAGGCATCTTCATCGTGATCCCGGCGTTGAAAACTAATTTTTAAAGTTTTAGAATTCTAGTCATTCCAACAATGAAAACTAGTTTCCGACACACGAATACCAGAAATTTAACACGAGAAATATTCGTAATATCCGATACGTGTGACGATCACGATCAGTCGATGCATATTAACATATACTTATTCATGAAACGTTTCACCGACATCTGTAACCGCGAATATAATTCCGGAAAAACGTGTCAATTATTCTGGATTACCATTGAATCGTTGGAAATCGTTGAAAGTCGTTCGGAAAGGCAGGAAAAGTTGGGGAAAATTGCCTAGACTCGTACCTCGCGTTGACGCTGTTAGCGACAAAGCTGGCAAAGTTGAGAAGAGGCGCGATGTCGTTCGCCTCTTCCTCCGTGGTGTCCATCTGGCCATCGATCGTCCCGTTCAGGACACCGAAAATGATCGATTGGCCCCTAAAGTCTTTCCTCAGCTTCACGTTGATCGGACTTTGCAACGACCACGAGTCCGGGTTCCAAGAACCGAGGAAATTGGTCACCAGGCTGGTGTTGTCCGAGTACCGGATCTTGTACACGTGGACGAAGTGAAAGAGCACCGTTCTGTTCTCGGGAACCGCGTAATTCAGGTTGACGGACGCGTTCTCGTCGAACCTCTTGATCGATGGCTCCCGGAAGTCGAAGCGGTTCCCGTAGCGTTGCAGAGACAAACAGGTCCTGGGGAACGTGGAAAAATTCGAGGCTTTGATCCCATGCTATTTCATGCAAACGACCAGTGACGTATTCGATATCGATTGTTTCCAAAATATCGATTTTTCAAATTATCTCGAATATAATTATATAATTATTTCGTTTGAGGCAATTTTTGAGAGATCACTTGGAAATACATTAACACTTTGACTGCCATAATGGTCATATATGACCGACCACGGTTTCTCCTGTGACGCCACGGTGGTCATTGATGACCAGAGAGCTTCAATTATTTGAACTACGTTGAATTACATTTAACGAAAATTGACAATTGGTGCATTTTGAATGTAACCGCTAATTAGAAGATACTTTGAAATAAAAGGTGTCCCATTGAACGATTAAAGATTTTTATTAGAACACCAAAAACATAGAACAAATCTTGCATCTAGCGGTGCACTGCCTGAGGGAAACATGTAATTTCGGTGTGGCAGTCAAAGGATTAACGACAAATGATCATTGGTTAAATAAAGTTATGAATCGCAGAAGTTATACATGATGAATAAGAAATTTGTTAATTTTAAATTTGCGCCAATGCACGCAGATGATCAGAATGAGTAGAAAAATACACAGAATACAAAAAAGGAATTGACATAGGTCAGTTGGAAAGACAGCGATCATGCTTCGTCATTGATTAACTAGAATTATAAGTTGAGAAACTTGTAAGGTGCTCGAAAGCTTGGAAAAATTTGGGTATGGAATAAATATAATTGTCATAGCTAAATACTGTTACAAGAGATCGGAATTATGCGTATCCAGAGTGGTCAATTATGGACGAAAATGCCGCAAACCGTGATAATAATTGATAAATGAGCGATCAGGTTCTAGAAAGGGTTACAAAACTAACTTGGAAATTAATCAATTGAATTTTTCGCAAGCGATCGGCGAAATTTTGATTGGACAATTCGAAATGTAAATATTGATTGGTGATAATCGAAACGACCAAAATTATATACTTGAGCAAAGACTAAATTTGTATCGTAGCATAAATTTGCAATGTAAATTTGCAACGTGGTGTACATTAATTAGAATTTTATACACGTGACTCACCGATGATCATTGTGCACGTGATTAAGATAAAATTATAAGAAATTAACAAAATTGCACATCTCAGGGATGGTCAAAGGTCACGAAGACATTCAAGGCTTAAATGGTAACATAACGTGAACCTAATATTTTGATATCCTGAATGGGAGCTGAATTCTCGTTTTCATCTGATCTCTCGTGTCATCTCTCTCGGTCAGGGACACTGATAACTAGAAATTTACCAACGAACTTTGAATTCTGCATATACAACACGATAAAATAAAAATTCGAAATAACTCCTTCGAGACGTTAAACCGGTTCCCGATATTCGGATAACAAATAATACAATCGATACGAATTTCCATTCCCAGGAGGTCCTCTAAGATCTAACGTTGGGATAGCTTGAGGTATATATTGAAAGCGATCTCAGGTGACAGGCAGCGTCTTCGACTGTTTTACACCTAAAACACATGAACCCATCAATGTCGAGGGATGTCGAACCTTCTCGAGCCAAAGGACCGTCAGTGAAATAAAGACCTTTGATGAAGAAAGTCTTCTGGATCACTAGCCCTATCTCCTTATCCTTCCGCTACGATATGCGTTTCATTAGCGGGTTCAAAATGTTTATATTTTTCGTGCTTTATCTCGACAGCCCGATTCGAGATAATCCGAGATATTTCGAGTGCGGATAATTCGCATGCGAACGTGACGCTGGTCACGTTGCGTTTATGGTCGGGACGATCGATGATCGATCGGTGAAGAAGCTCGGAGCATCGTTCCGTGAATGTAAGCTACCTGTTCCAGTAAATTCCAGACAATTCCTGGATCACTTCGTAAGACGACGATGGCGTCGCGACGATCACGTCGCTATCGATACCGATATTCAAATGTCGAAGCACCGTATCGATCGTCGCATCCGTGTTCATCGCGGTGATCATCAGCCAGGAGACGTAATAATTGAACTGGAATTTCTGCGATGCCTGAAATTCGTTTTCCCTCGTTAAAATTAATCCATTGACTAGCTTAGGGATATTCTCCTGCCAATGAAATTAATAATTTCGCAGGTAAATCAATTTAACGCCGCATTTTTGCGTTTTATGATACTAAATAAATAAATTATGAAGTCTTAATGCTCGTTTTCATTGAACAAATCGATTTAGAAGTAGCGATAACCACTAATAAAATCGTTTATCAAATCCGAACGTGAAAGAGAAATTTATCGAAATGGCAGCTTGTTTGCTCTCGAAATTAAATTATTTATAATTAAATAATGATGATCTCGATAGTTAAACCAGCGATGTTCTAGAAAATTTTAAGAAAATAAAACGATTCGTTCATGTTCCATCATTGTATAGATAATTGTTAATTACAATTGCTCAGGGAGGATTCTACGTGTGATTCTCACCACGTGAAGAATATTATCAGGAGATGTGAGATTAAGCCCGTCGAGCAAAACGATCGATCCAATTCGATGCTTCTGGATCACAAGGGCGTCAGGTATATTCGGATTGATGGCAGACTGAATCGACAAGCCGATTCCCTCGTCGGCGAGACACGCGATCAAAGGTCTGGTGTACGAAAATACGCAATCTGTGGCAAAGAGAAAACGAAATTTAAGCGACGAAACACCGAAATTGAATGATACTCGAGGGTCACAGCAACGAGATAATTAATCCGCGATATCAGAATTTCTGTAAATGTTTCCACACAAACCACAAGCAGTTGCACGTGTACAACCTTGCCAGGGGACGTGCCGAAATTCACGTAACGCTGCAATCGATTTTTCCAATTATTGCATGGAAAAACCCTCGCACATTTATTTCCCAAATAACTCTGTTTAAAGATCCGAATATCGATTATCTTCAACTAGCATTCGATTCAACAGTACGATTCTTTGCGAAGCCGTGTAATTTGTTTTTACTCGCTTTTTCCAAGAATTTATTACAGTTGCGACAGAAAAAATAAAAATAATTTATTTAAATAATATCAATTTTCAAAGGTGACAAATTGGCTAATGGGATATTTTGCACTCGGTTTTTGGGTCTTACGATAATAATAGCGAAGCAACGATGATGATTGAGAAGAAGTACGTGTTCCTTGTTCCTTTTTCTCTATCCAGACCTTACTTGAAATTATAATAATTAAGATTCGATTCTTCTTACCTAAGGATGTCAAGTTCTCGAACAATACTATCTGGTCCCAGGCTTTCCATTTGGAAAATTCCAGGATCAATTGCAACGTCAGTGTCGAGGGTAAAATACAGGTGCTGGTTGCCATGTAGAACGTCGTGGCGATGAAAAGTTGCACTTTCATTGTTCTATACGTGCAGGGAGAAAATATCGACTGTCGATACCAAGAAATTTATACGTTTCTAACGTGTGTCAATTAACGTATTTTGAAATGCAAGACACAACAGATTCCTCGTTTTAATTGAAGTTGACGACGTTTTAACCGATGAAATATGTGAAAGTAATTCAGGTAATATTTGCATACCTCGCGCATATATTATGAAGAGCAGTGGAAAAAGAAAAGAGCTGGAAATCTACGACATATCTTTGACCAAGATTCAGAGAATGTTAGAAAAATATAGGAAATGGTTATTTTCAAGCTCATCGATGCCTGTTGGCAAACGCGAAACACTTTAGACAGCGATCGAAGGTAGACTGAGGGCTCATCTCGCAGTCCTTTCGTCCTTGGCTTCAACGCATGCGATAGAAATTACTCAGATAGGTATCGTGCAAACGTTTCATAACATCTGCTCTTCCAAACGAATTAATTTCGCGGATAATATCGCGTGTCGATGACAAACGTGCCACCAGAGAAACGGGGGACACGATAAAAGTCAAAGTCAAAATTGAATTGAATGTAAAATTTCCTTTCTAGTTGAATATTGAACAGACAACTTGAAAATGACCTATTGTCCGAAGGAAGTATGATTCAGATAACGTAGAATAGTTTTCCATTATTTAGTACAACTATGCATTCTTCGATGTGCTCGCTTGAATATGGAATCTTAACGTGTCTCGATTTAGACTCTTACACTTTCGACACATTCTCTATTTCTCTATTTATTTCTCTATTTATTCGCGCAACGATGGAGGATACAGAAGGTAGCATGATACTAAAGATGAGTCGTTACATCCTCTAGGAGAAACACGCAAAATTTCACTAGTTCGCAAATGTGCACATACGAACAGGTGTAATTCATTTTTCTCGATATCCTCGAATAATCGATATTATTCAAATTTGCTTACTCTTTTCTCGATCAACCCCTTCCAGATTTCTAAAATTCTAAATTTTCGACGAATTTATTTTAAACTTGCCGAGATTGAAACTGAAAATTTATTTCCATCCGCGATTGCGCAGATTCCAAGATGGCTGCCGGACGAAGAAGAGGATTACAGCGGAGGAATCGGGTTACTCTGTTTGGAAAAATCGGGTGTATCGAGGTTTGCACACGCGAAACCTGTGAACGAGGACAATGATGTGTGGATAATAGTATTTACCTCGCGTCGACAGCAAATCGATAGAATCGATGCAACGAAGAATCGGTATACCAGGTTAAGGTTCACTTACCAAGTTCACTTACCTCGTTACCTAGGGGAAATTTTCATTTCGACACTGCACTCTAGTCATAGGAAAAATCAGTTTCCTCGTCGTTTTCATTAACTTTGATTAACTTTGATTTGCGATTCAATGAACGATTGAAGGGTAAGCAATCTACTTGATGGAAATCGGAGCATATACTTTCCCCGTTTCCGGCTGGAAATTAAACCTTTGCACCTCACGAGTGAATTTTACGATACTCGTGAATCGTTAGACACTGTCGTGCACGTGTAGGCATATTCTCGTGTTAAAAATTAAAAATCACGTGACAGTATCACGTTCCCACGACATCACTCGCCATATTTGAATGTTGTATTGCTTGAAATACAGCGGCGTATGGAATGCAAATCGAACATGTCAGAACGAATAGATCGATCGAACGAAAGACAAAAAACTTTTCGGTGATGTAATCCCCTGGTGAAAGATTTTTACATGACATAGCTGAAAGTTTGTCCAAATTCATCCTCGAGGACATTGTTTGCCTGGCCCCGATTGCTCGCACTTACTTGCAGGATTATTCGTAATCCATGCGCTGTTGAGTTAACAGTAGATATGTATTTGAGTGTATAGTACATGGCAAATAATAAATTCACCGTTTTGAAAGAATAATGTATCGAGTGTAAGGAACAATCTGTCTGAGTCAATTTTTATTTGTTGCAAAGAAAATACTGCACATGTGTACTACGTTACATATTACATACATGTACAGTTCGAAATGAAATCGATGCAAATACACAAACGTGGTATCATGAAAGTTGATAAATATTTCTGAATTTATTTGAATAAATATTAATATCGATCTTATTGGAATTAATTGCGTATTTTCAGCAAGGAGATCTGAAATCATTTTCCTTACACGTTAATTACGTCCAACTACTTCAGTCCTCGATGATTTAATGAGACAGATTTAATACAAATACTAACAATTCGTTGTTAATAATGGTCGAATTTTTCAATAACGTTCTACGAGAGCTATTGCACGATCATCCACTTGTTAGAAAAGGATGTATGTTAACGCGATCTCAAAGTACAAGCAGCAATTCACCGATCCGTCAGATCCGCCATATCCGTGAGATGTTACATCATTCGTGTGATCACATTGCGAACTTTGGACTTTAGATTAATTTCATGATGCCACGGCGAGAGAGAATGAGTAACGAACGATAAACCCAAAGGATCAACAACTATCAAATTCAATTCGAGTTTCACGTCAATCTTTCATTTAAATATCGACACATTCCCGCCATTATCTTCTCTTTCCTCGAACTGATCAACAAATATAGTCGTGTCTCGTGTGTGCATTTTTAATCAATGCTAAAAAAGATATATTTACAAATGTACATACGACTATGTCGTATGCAAATTTTGCAATCGTATGCAATATAAATTATATAATATCGACATATCATACGTTTTTATAATAAAATTGCCATATAGCTTATACCGAGTAAACATCCCGATCGTTTCCCGAATGAAATATAGCGATCATGGTATCAACTGATGTTAATAGACATTATTTATATTTACTTATATTTTGTATTGGTATATTTCGCGTGTATATATGTCGTATGGCATAATCCAGATACGTTGTAAATTGTATAACGATATTTATAAACGAATACAACGTATATTAGGTATTGTAATATAAAAAAGTAAATTATGGTAATTCGCACTCTACTTGACCGACCGAAGAGAACGCTCAACTTCTCAGAATTTGCAGATTCTTCAAATATTATACACCACGCAAGCAAAATTATACACATCAACTGATTTTAAGTAGTACCTCGAAAAAAAAGATAAAATAAATTTTCCATAAAAACATTTCTTTACTATCATTAGTTTATCGATATATTAGATATGTAAAAATATATGCTGTTACATAACCTCACGAAGATTAAAAAAGTTAAATCTAGTTCTATGTAATAAGGCACTTTCAACAAATTTTCAACAGGTTTAAAAAAGAGAACAGGGCAAAAGATTTTCCTAAAGCGATATCAGAAATTTTTTACTGGAATAACGAATTCCGAGTAGTGACATGACGAAGCTCCTTTAATTAGCGATTTCATGTATTAACGTCTTAATACAGGATTAATCATACGAACAGTAATTTACAAACACTGTTATAGAAAAAAAGAATACAATATTTTCGATCGATATAAAAAGCTTCCATTGTACACTTTCTTACCTACACGTCTGACATGGTAAGACGCGTGGTACACAAAATCTCTTCGAAATTCATTTTTCTAGCAAAAACACAAAAGAAACGAAAACATTTTCGATCATTTCTCAATCTCTGGTACAAGTTGACACAGAAAAAACTGTTGTGACCGACGTGTTTCATTCGGTAAAGAATCACGTATGCACGCAACCAATGTCGCAGGATCAACGCAGGAGGACGCCGCGTAACGGCGCCACTATTGTTTCCCCCTAGTGTCGACCATGCTTGTCGTCATGCTTGTGTTCGTCGACAATCCTATTTAGCTCTTGCCGCGTGGTGCCGGTGTTTCAGTCTTCGTTTGATGTCAGATCGTTGAGTTTCGTGAGAGGGAAGCCCGCCGTGATACAGAATACTAGAGGAACAATTTCGGCGATTAGAGGGAGACGAATTTCGTGTGATTGTAATTATTTCATATAAAATCGCGACTGTTGGACATTGTGCACGAAGCAGCATCGAAATACATACGGCGTGAGACATTAACATTCGTCAACCTAGTTGAACGAAAAAGGTTAACCGGCGGAAAGTTCAACAGGGATACAAATTAAGGTACGTTTTATTTTTCTTACTATTACACTGTTCATATGTTCTTGTGTGACTGTGCTGTCGTTATTAGTTTTTACGTAATCTCATTCAGTGCAATGAACGGTTTTGAAATTAACACAAGACGAAATTACAGATCGGTAATTAAAGACGAAATCATTTTTTGACAAAGTCTACTTTCTCCTCGATGCTCTGCAGCGGAGAATAAATGAAAGTTTCAAATAATTTGATCTGTTTCTTTATTCTCCGGTGTACACTCGATCATCATAGCCCCGCGTGATCTCTCGAATCGTTTGGGACTTATTAGTATCTGAGATGATGTAACGACGTGTTTAATGTTCCGTACGCGACCATGCGTTTCGATGGCCGACTAGAATTAACGGACGACCTGAAGCCGTGTTAAGTAACAGACCGTTCATTTTAATTTCACCTGGTTTGCAATACCGAGTTTCTGTTTCACGTGCGTACACATCGTGCGGACGATAGAGAATTCTCGTTCTCGAGAATTTTGCAATTTTTCAATTCGAATACCGAAACGAGACAGAACCTAGATGTGAAAAGTAAGTGGAGTACCATTTTGTTCTCGTGCAAGCATTCGATTTGCAACGAAACTTGGCCGGTTCGAAATCAATCGAAGCAACGAACAGTTTTTGAAACGATATAACCTAAAAAAAATATTTGACGACTGTCGGTAACACGATTATACACAGTGTGTATACGTGTGTAGGTAACGTTGCTAGCGTCACGAACGCGTAACTACGGTCACACGAACATTCGCTTGTGAGTTCATTCGAGAAACGATAACAAGATTCGCGACAAGTAAAAATAGTTACCTTCGTTCTTTTATATATTCTTATTCATAGTCTGTTTTACCTTCTTTCGAATTACCGATCGTGTTCGAAACTTTTGTATTCGTATTTATTATTTTCACAAGAATCTTTTATTTATTTTACCCTAAGTGCTTTTAATTCTAAATAATTTTTATTTCAAACATTTCAATCCTTAATGTCGTCATCAACACGCGTGGACTTTTCCAGGAAAGATAATTCGCAATTTTTATATTATCGCCTAGATAATATAGATAATAGTTACAGGAATAGAGCGTGTGCGTATGAATTCTTGTAACTAAAATATTATGATTAATAGTTGAACTGACCACAGACAATCAGCAATTGCGTTACATTACGATGTTAAATTCGTTGCATATTCCGAGAGCCCAGCAGCAGCGTATTAAATCGCTTTAAACCATAGACTTAAACGACGCGAATTGCACGGATGGCAAAAATTAAACTAGTAGGCAAAATATAGACTGACGATACTTTTCACTTAATTTTCACTTTCGTTTCGATCTCTCGGTAAGCAAATTTTCTCGAAAGACTTTTTGTACCCCCCATTCCAGTTTGATTCGCAGTACGATCCTGACATTATTTACAAGCGTTTTCGAAGGTGGCGCTGCGATCAGCGGTCAGCATTTCGACAATGTCGCACCTGTTGAACTATTCGGACACATTTCCAGAACTTGCTCGTTGTGTTGGCAGAAGTTGGACATTGCCATGGGCAGATCTTATGTCCGTTCGAGTTTCTGCTCTCCAGTGGCCAACTATTTCTCTCGATACACCGTTACCGGGCTTGCAGATCGAGAGAAATTGACCGACATGTTGCCACAATACTGTACCATCGTCTTAAAACAGACTTTATTTCACGTCCTCGGTAAATTCACGCTCTCGAAATTTATGTTCGTCCATAAAATCTTTATTATCGCTTTTTACTCGCTCTTAGAATATTCGAAGCTGCATATGAGGATTGGCCGCTTTCTGAAAATGGAAACAACGGAATTGTTCGCTTTCTAAAGATGGGAAGGATAAAAATTCTTCGCTCTGTGGAAATGGAAGTATCGAAATTGCAGATTTTTTGAAAATAGAAATTCGTCCGCGGCCGAGCTGGAAATAATAACTGGATTTTTCGCCGATTAAAGCATTCGTGGCGCATCGTTTGCAATTTCATCTGCGATCAAATGCGAGGGTGTAATCGGCCACCGGAAACGTCGATTCGATTAGGGTCGATTAGTGGCACCGGTTTGATCCAGCTGCTCCGCGCTGCGCATCCGACAGTGGAAAATACTTTTACGCGTTAAAAAGTCAGTCGATAGGTGCACTTTGGTGCATAAAAATGGATCGAACGTTTTGTTCGTTTATAAATTTGTACCCCGGGGATACTATGATTTTGTTGGCATAATTATTCGTTCCTTCGGATTAATTAAAAAAAATAATTCGCATACGAATAATTTTTAAATATCGTCGCAATAATTTATTTTTATTTATTCTTATTTATTCTGATTAATCGTTTATACGTCATCCGATTGATGGAAAGCTTCGTTTCACTTATCCTCGAGTCATGAAAGAATTTGAATAAAGGAAATTAATTATATAATAGTAGACACTGTTTATTGCAATAGTAAATTCACGTTTTTACGCGTTTTATCATGATTCATGCAGTCTGTTTTTTGCACCGGTGTTCATTACATCAAAGTTTAAACGTGTATCACGAATAATTAAGAGTATACACCTATATAGGCCTCAGGGGCCCCTATAACTCATTCAACCTTGTTCACTTCGAGCCCGCCTAGTTACGAATGATCTTAATTTACCCGTTCGCCTATAAAATCGTAAAATTACTTTATACTATCTCCGATACCGTAGATATTTCTTTACCAAAGTTCACCTTATCGCCAGATAATGCCAATCATTTTCGAAAAATAAATTTAAATGGAAAACGCTTTCCTTCCGGTGTAACTGTCCGTTAACTGTTCGGATAATCGAAATTAGCGTTACAAAACGTACAGCTGTGATACGGGTATAGGCTATCGATATCGGTGAATATCAGTAAATAAACAAATGAAAAATTATCGAAAGCAAACACGAACACGAAGATGAACCGATGTAATCGTCTCGTGTGACCTACGTGTGGTTCGATTAACACGCTGCGATCGATGTTCAATTTGATAGTGCGATTATTATGTTTTATGTACCTACGTGTTATACGGCAGACGTTATTAATCATCGTTTCCCGAGAATTTAATCCGCGCCATTTCTATCTAAACTAGACAAATTGTATTAAAAATCTCGTGCAATATGGCGACTAATCGCGAACGCGCTTAATTCGTTATTACGCTCGATTTCCTCTGTACGACCGTTGGTAATGATGCCAGAGCTGCCATGGCAGTGGTTTAAATCGATAATACGATTACGCTGTCCTAATCTCACGGTTACGCTACATTTTTCCACGAGCTTCCATGAGGGAGAAATATCGGGATCGCCCTGTTAAATCGCGATTATACGTGGTATCAAAAGTATATCGCTGTAAATTGTCGCGTTAACGAGTACTTCCTGAACATGGTCGGGATAATACGCAAATATTTACCTATACGAGTGCACTAGCCTTGAGCGTTAATTATATGATACTCGTATTGGACTATTTCTCTTATTAATCTTCTCCCTGTCTTGGAATTTAAAATTCTCTGCAAGAAGATTCGGACACGATACTTTTTTCACCGGTCTTCTTTCAACGAACTATGATTGTACACGAAGAACCAGTTTGTCCGTGAATACGATTCTTTATTAGACGAACATGTGCCCGTGTCGCGTAGATGTTGCATGTGTGTACGTATTCCCGGTGGAAAAGAAAGAATAGGTTTTCCTTTTCATTTCCACGCCCTGACAATTTTTCCCCTAGTTTCTAGGGAAAAAATTCGTTTATTCGAAAAGCTCGGGTAAGCAGTGTTAACAGATGCGTAAGTATCTAGTATCTAGTTTATTCCTCTCGATAATTCACCGACATGTGATTATCGCTGGTCAAGTAAATTGGATACTCAATTTGAGACGATTACGTAATTTTGGTACTTTGGAAACCGATTAAATCGTTACGTTGAAAAGTTTGCCGATTTTTGAATTTTCGAAGTTTTGTATTTTATAATTAAGGAATTTTGGAATGTTCAAATTTGAAAAAAAATATTTTCAAACGTTTCGGTTAAAAGATTTTTGAATTTTGATTATTAAAATTGTAATTAAACAACGACGTAATCGTACGCGCTATCGCTACGCATTCGTACGCACGAATTTTCTCGCGACACCTTTCTCCTGCACCGTTCGATCGGAAGTCTCTGCTGCACTCTGTATCTCGTCCCTCTTCCGTTTCGACACACAAACCAGTTCGTTATATGGTACAAACAAATCGAAATCGAATCGAAAGAACGAGTTTAGAGCGAAGCTGCAGCAGTATTTTCCTTTATGCAGCCCCCTAGATATTTTTCGGGAAAAATTACAGTTATTCCCAGCAACGTTTAAACCCCCCGAAGTCGACGCATCGCTTGCGATTACGCAGTTAACGGTGAAATGTTTAAGATAGCAGCCAGAGACTATCACAAGTATACGTGGAATACTGAGTGGCAAGTTCGCTAACTCGACATTTATGACTTTGAAAATGAGAAATGTTGATGTCACACCACCAGTTTTTGCCACGCGTAGAAAAGTAAACATACTCTAACTGTACAGTATGCCAAGTCCACGTGGAACCGATCTCGAAGCTCCACGTAAGATGCTCAGTATATATATATATATACATTACTAATCACGTTACGTTCATCTGTGTGGTTCATCGATATCCAAGTTTCACTGAACGATGTCGATCTGTGTAATACGATACCCGTATTATAAATCTAGAAAAGAATGTAAACTTCGTTAAACTCGAATTTCGCCATTTTGAAATTAGCCACATCTATTTGTTCAATAACCTGTTTTAATTCGAATATCGAGAATAACGTTTATATCTTATCATTCACAGGGTTCAAATAACAGTCGTTAGACACAGTATACGCACTGTGTTAACATGCCATAGCATAAACAATTCACGAAATATGAATATCAATATATGGGATTTCTTCTCCGAAGAATGTTTATCGTTCCATGCGAAGGTTATAATCAGATTTTGTCGAATACGCAAGTATACGT